AAGCCGTTGCTGCTGTCCAATCGTTCAACCATCAGCCGAAAGCTCCAGCAACTGCCACTACGCGAAGCCAAGCGACACACCCGGCCGATTCAGCTGAGCATGAGGCGCTTGCCGTGATCGCGTTCCACACTCCCAGATTTGGACGTTGCTCGTCTCGTGAAGTTGATCAAAAACTGAGAAACTACCTCTACGTTAGCTATAGATCATGTGGGATGTCTGACAGTCAAGGTGCCAGCACGTGTCGCGTGCGGCACGCGCCTTTGTAGTTAGCTTTCGCGCATGACTTGCCCCGATCGCGTTTACAACTCCCGCGCTGGGGTTCGGAAAGCCTTTCTTGTCAGACTCATCGAAAGAACTGTCAGAACACGTTGGCCCTGGAACATGTGGGATGACCCATTAGACAGGAGGCGTTTGCCCGTGTCCAAGCAGACGGGCTAATTGCCACTGCGTGCTGGGATTTGGGGCTTGGTCTTGAGGCTTTCGCAACGTCACTACATCTCATGCTGAAACTGATCTCCGGCGGAGTCTGAATCCTCCTTGCTGGCCCCGAACCCCTGTGCTCTTGAAGTTCTGAAAGATCCGAACTTGCAGGAAGAGGGCCACTGAGACTGTGAGTCCGGAGATCTCGACAAGCAACATGCTTTAGGTGCGCGTACTCTCTCTGAGGCGGCAAAGAAAAGTGTTTGCGGGGCGATGATCTGCATGGCTCATCCCTGGGTTTTGGATTCGAGAGTTAAGCTTTCAGGCATCCCAGAGACTCCAATATCCCTTAACTAAGGAATATACCTTAAATTATAGTAGGATCCTTAATATGATTTAAGGTATATTCCTTAATTAAGGGATATTGGAGTCTCTGGGTATTCTTACAGCGTGTAGTGAGTCTCGAAGTGCGATTCAGGGCAGTGGTGCTTGGGCAGAGAACTTGCACCACAACAGTCCTGCAGAGTTTAACCCTCGAGCCGCCCCTACACAATCAAATGGGCATCTAGAGTGCTAGAAAAGACTTTAGGATGCTCGCTTGTATCAGGGTCCAGGGTCTTACCGTTACCGAAGATGAGAGACAAGTGCAACAAGCACAAGATCAGAGTAAGTTTCTTTGTTGCTGTCATCAGTCTCCAATCTGATAATCTGGTGCGGCGCATGGATGTTATCGATGATACAGTTGGGGAGGGAAGTCACGGCTACCGCCGTTTGTTGTCTTCTGACTTGTCCAGGTTCTTTGAATCGGAGTGCAGATCTAGAAAGTTCTACTTAAGACTTTTGTAGGTCTATCGACTTTGACTACGTAGCAAAGGCCTGTGAAGTTGTTTTGGGCGCACCGTTGACGTTTGTAGCAGATGATGGAGCTGCACAGCTTGCGGATATCTCCAGTTCAAACTTGTCCCAGCCCGGCAGCTTTGCATGGGACTCGAAAGCCGAGGGTGCCTGGAGGAGACCTGTTGGGGATTTCGAGACATTGAGAGGATGTGCAGAAACCGTGGCATCAATACCACAAACTCAAGTTTGCAACGGGTTGCTGCAGTGGATGGGGTCCATACTTGTACACTCCCGATGTTGACTCATCGCAATCTCCAATTCGCTTGGGCCTGCGCAGGAGTCGCCCATGCAAGCTGGGAAGTGCGGCATGAGGGATGCGCAGACCTGGTAAGAGGCCGGCATTCCTCACAAGCCACGGGAGCTTCAGTGCGATGATTGACTTGTTTCCCGAAGAGGTTGTGGTGACGGTGAGGTTGACGTTTCAGTTTCAGCATGAGCGCCCATCAAATGAGGCTAATCTCTAGGCGGTATACAATGCGTGGCAGGGCGACTATACCCCGCATACGTTGGCATAAATCGCCCTAGTCTTTGAATTGGGTTCTGCACATGTCTGCACTCTTGTTAGAACACTGCGGACTTTGAGCAGCTATATTAATACGGCTTGGGGCTGCAAGCGCTGTCCTGTCATGTGTATAATCATTGCTGCCATTGTGGAGGAGACTTTTGCCATGAGCACTGGAGGTATGACGGTCATTGGTAACTTGTACTACGGCCGGTGCTGGTGCTACTGCACGACTCTCACGGATATCAGCATTTATGAATGTTTATGACTTGCCCGCCCGTCTTGCTATTGCTTATTGCTTGCTTAGAGGGAGCAGCAGTGGTGAGCTTATGGCTGACGTAAGCAGTTCAGGCTCCGAGATGCGGCTGCTGGCAATCATGGGACCTGTGCTCGACCGGAAG